TATTTTCACTATTTCGACTTCCCCCGAAGCCCCGAGATCATTTCCAACACCCGAAACACGCCCCGAAGTGCCCGAGAAGCCCGATAAATTTATCTTTTCGGTTTGAAGCTCAACCCTCGCAGGGCCCGGTTTATAAGAAAACTCCCGGTTTTTTCAACGAAGAAAGCTAATTATAGTAACGAAGTGCTGCCAAAATTACTATTTTAACCCCCGGTTAATTCACGGTGAGTTCAATATATAGGAACAACTGTATGTTATGTGTTATATGTGCTATGTGCTTTTCCGTTGGTATTATTTCCGTTATTTATGATAGCAAAGCTATACCTTTGACCATGTGATCAGTGAAAGGACTTAGATTCACGGTGGTACTGGTACGTAGCCTCTGGCCATGTAGAGCATGTCTCCATAAGAGAATGACTTCTATTCTATGACATTGGAAGATGGTTAGACAGGGCTATAAGCCTGAAATCTACCGAAATGTTTAATTCAGAAAGTGTATGTCTTCTGTGCCATTTGGGCCGAAGCTTTATTGGTGTATATCAAGTATAGAAATTGTCATGTCTCATTGATCGTATAACTTTGAATCAAATCATTGATTGATATGGAAAGTTTGTCACATGATTCACATATACTTTTGTTGTTTCTTGTTCCTCTGTGCTTCTGCCATATTGAAGTATATATATGGCATAACATTATATTCTATCTATTGTTGAACTCACTAAGCGTCACCGCTTACCTTTTTCAATGTTTAACAAATTGCATGAGATAAGTAACCAGTATAATCGTATACTGTTGGAAGATTTTGAATAGTTTGAAACTATTTTATTTTGTACTCAAGTGTATATAACTTATAGTATCCTGGGAAGTTATGTAACATATAAAAATTTGTAATAGTCGGTTTGTACTCAGTCTTATGTAAACAACTTATCAATGTAAAATATTGTTTTTATGAATATGCAAGTAGCATGTTTTGGAGTAACAAATGTTAAATATGAAAGTGTGGGTCTTTCAAAGAAAGAGGGTATAACGAGTAAGTAGAAACATGTTATATAACCCGCTTTTCATTTCAACTGACGGTATCGCACATCGAGGTGTCGATGTAGCCTGCGGTATCGCCAGTGACCTGTGACTCATGGTTGTAAACGAACTGAACGTTCAACGAGCCGTTCGGCGGGAAGCTCTTTTATGTTTGTTTATTTTATAAATGAACGAACATGAACACGAATGTTTGTTCGTCTAATTAAACAAACAAACATGAAAAATGGTCTTGTTCGTTCATTTATGTTCGTGAACATTCGTTTATGTTGTTTGTTTACGTCCGTTTAAGTTTTCTTATATTCATATATGTTCAATTGTTATTTTATTACATTGTTGTATTATATGTTCATTTATGTTTATATATGTTCAATTGTGTTTGCTTATATTTGTTCGTTTATGTTCGTTTAACATGTTCATGAACATGAACAATGTAATTTGTTAAACGAATGAAAATGAACAAGAAAACTCATTTGTTTATCCATTCATGTTCGTACGTTTGTTAGGTGAACTTAAACGAACGAACATGACCAAGACATTGTTAGTGTTCGTTCGGTTCGTTTATAGCCCTACTCATCGCGCTCAACTCTGTCCACCATAAGTAGGAAGCTATATGCAAAAGAAAAATCAAAAGAACATTGGTATGATCATTTTGTGATACTTGTTTGTTTGTGTGTATTTTTCTCTTAAAAAGCTGTGGATAATTATTGTAATGACTGAAATATCATTAGTTATTAAGCAAAGGAATTGATAGGAAATGTATAAGTTATTAACAGATTATTAGTAAACTAAAGTTTTAGTTCACTTTGAGACGGTTTCGTGGATATAAAGACCGTCAAAGTCCTGGTTTGTATGAGAAAGTTATGCCCATTTTAAGTTTGGACAGAAAGTAGGTTTGAGAAAAGTCAACAAGTCAATTGAAATTACGACGGACGCGACATGTAAGCCGAATTACGTGACCGTAGACGCAAATGAATAATAGGACATGTGGCAGTACCAAATGACATGAGACAAATAGATGTGTGACATGTAGCATAGTGCGTTGTGCGCCCCTCCAGGCGCGACACGCCTTGTCGGTGCCAACATCTATAAATATTTTTTTGATCTTGTTTCGTTGTACATTTTGGTGAGAAGGGCTTTAGGTAGTCACGTAATGATGCGTAGTCTACAGAAATACATACTAATGTAGGTATACATGAATTGACTACAGAGTAAGGTAAAGTTGTTGTTCGTTTCGTTAACTATTACGTGATTCTTAAAAGGTTGTTAGAACCCGCGTTAGATAACCGGGTTTATAATAAGATGTTTATAATATAAATATACTATAGACTCAATGACTCATCGATGGCCAAATTCCATCGAGCGATTCGTAATCTAAGTAATGTCGGTTATAAACCCTATGTTACGGAATAACCGGAAATGAGTAAATTGAGTGAACGGTTTATAGAGTTAAGACGTTTAGCAGTTGTATTAGAAGACTTGACGAGTTGATAATAAATGGTTACCAGGTTCAGTTAATGGTCGAATAAAGGACCATTATAGCAGGTGTGATGATAAGTATGTGAAAGTTCTAAGGAACTTGGTATATTGTCCGAATAGGTTCCTATGAGATGTAGGCTGGGGAGCAGCACCGAGAGTGAGGACAAATTAGCAATTAGTCTTCACTAAGTATCTAGGTGAGTATATGTGGATTTTCTAGGTACACAACAAAGTAAATATTTTTACTTGAAAAATGTAAATATGTCACTAGGTGTAACTAAGCTGATACTATGGTAATATATGAATATGTCACTATTTGTGACGAAGATTGATTACATGAAAAATATTTTATTGTTAAAAGGTTTTAGAATAGAAATCCATGTCTTCCTTAGCTAAGGAAATAGGGCTATTTTGGGCTACATGATAAATTGTCAAATTGTATATTATATAGTTGGGCAATGAGCGCTTTGGATGAGCTCAACAGTCATGTGATTAGTTATCAATGAGTTTGGAAAAAACCGATATGTGAATTGTATTGTGAACTCTGTATAGAGTTGTTTCCGGTCAAAAAGCGTACATGTGTTTGTGTTGAAAGCTTTAAACAAACCTGTTGTGGATAAAGGTGTAGGATGTCTTCGATGTGACTGATAAAAAACTATTTTGTAACGGGTGAGTACTAAGAGTATAGTTAAGCTATATATTAGCTATAAACTTTAAGGAAATTTACTGTCACATGGATATATATATATATATATATATATATATATATATATATATATATATATATCAGAAGCTTGATAACAGTTGTGTATGAATAAGGCATTGGATGTCATTTATGTGATTAAGGATATAATGTACTCTATAGGTGGGTGCTAGGCAGCTGATTATAAATACCGTTTGTAGCCTACGAAAAGAAGATGTGTCATGAATGATTGGAGCCCTTGATGTGAAGATGTGTCACTAATGATTAGAGCTTGTGACAGGAAGATGTGTCACACATTGTGGAGCCAGTGACAGGAAAATGTGTCACATTAAAGTGGCTGGTAGTATGTTGGTAAGGGATTGTGGTATCCCGTATGTGTTAGGTTCTTGTATGTTAGGACTTGTGTGCTATAAGGCATAGTATACAGAATAAATGAAAGTATTTAAAAATGGTTTAGGGTCTGAGTCAAAACCGATGTAGCTCATGAGTCTTCAAACTTATGTATGTTTGTGTTATATACTCATGTATGAAAATGGAGATAGAATGTGCTACCAGGAAGACTCCAATGGAATCAGGGAATGTTGTATAATCCTTTTCTCCTTTACCATAGTTTTTAGTAATAGTTTGTAACACTGAAAGCTATAAACTTTGATAAATATTGGAAAGCTTTTTTTTGTAGAAGTACATTTTATTGATAATAAATGTTGAGTGTGAATTATTGCCCTCTCAAAAAGCTCCGGCTAGGGTTTATGCACTCATGAATGGATAGGACACATGACTATATTAGTGTCAAGTATGAACTATTAGATTTTTCTTTTAACTTATGTGTATATTATCTTCAGTTACTCAAATGAGTTGAAGGGTTCAATCTTTAGGTTACCCTGATTCTCGAGTATTTGAAATATGTATTATACTAATATGAAAATTCAATCTTCGAGATATTTTCATTTATGCATGAGTTTATTTTTGTGTTTTCTTGTAGTAATTAAGGATTACACTAAGATGGTGGAGGAATTTTGGTGATTTTAGTGTGATCAACATATTTTAGTGAAGTTATTCTTAATATTGAGATATGTTGATTTCTATTTACTCAAAGTGATTGGAGGTGCGGGGTGCACACTTGGAGTGATAAATGTAAACTCGACAATAAGGGGGTCCGGGGGTAGTACTCCTAGGTATGGGGTTCCAAGGGGTAGTGCTCCTTGCAGAGTCTAGGGGCAGCACCCCTTGTGGGGTCCAAGGGACAGAGCCCCTGGTGATGGTTTCAAACATTCATTTTTCTGCCAAAATAAGTGGTGACATCACTATGATGTAAGAGTCGGTTATGTCTTATAACCACCTTTATAACCACAATTTTTGTGCTAAAATGGGTGTAACCACCATTTAACCACCTTTCTTCCTTGTATAAGAACATAGCAATGTTCCAGAAAAAGGGTTGGATTTTCACTCGAATTTGATCATCAGATTTTCTCTATCTCTCAAGAACACAAAATAGCATGGTATTTTCTATGTTTCAGATTTATAAGTGGTCTGACTTCTAAATTGTCATTCCTGGATTATCCCAAATCTGATTTCGTGATACCCAAAGCTATAGGGTTGAAATCACAAATTTTGAAAAGTGATTACAATCACGATCCTAGAAATTATCCAAGTATACTGATATTATTAGACCCAAAATATAACAATTAGTATCCTTTTTTGGCACTTTTTCATGTAGTAATTTAATATTCTCTCTGTTTTTTGTATCTTAGTGCACATATTTAAAAAACAATGGATAGAAGCCATGAACGAATACACTCCAAACCCTAGCCAAGGTGAATATCATATCCGTTAAACCCACATATATTTTACTCATAAATATGATGCTAAGCTAGAAAGAAAGTTGAACGGTCCACATATTCATCTTCATTTTTACCTTCTCCAAACCTATTATCGCTTTTCGTATGTTGAAACTTTAATCATTTTATTTGTTGTTAATGAAAATATGGTATCATTATTTTTAGAATACATGATAAACATGTTAGATATTGTGCTTTTATTTGCTTAATTTTATGAAAAAACGGTGTAGATTTTGAACTTTTTTAGCCTAATTTTGAGGTTTATTTTCAAGTAATGTGAAAAAAATTCAACAACCTGATGTAAAAAAGAGCAAAGCCCGAAAGAACCCATGTACATCAAGCATACACACTCATAAAAAATGCATAAAAGGGTGCTTTAATTTTCTTTGGAGCTTCGATTCAACAAGGGGAAACATAAAAAAGGCAAGAACAAAGTAAACTTGGAGTTGTTTGGAGTTGTGATTTTTTCCCTTTCTTGTGTTGATCCTAGATTTACAATCTTATGGACATGTTCGTTTATGAACATATGTTTATCTATGAATATTTGGTATCCCGTTCATATTAATCTGATTATTTATAAATATATATGTTTATTTATGGACATTTGTTTATATACTTATATCAATCAGCTGCTTATTGTTCGTTTTGAGAGAATAATTGATTTTTTCATTCACTTTTTAGGTTTTTTTTGTGTAAATATTTAGTTATGAGCATAACTAATTTATTAGTATTCTAGACATATGCTTGGTTATGCCCATATGTTCGTTTAAGAACATATCTTCTTTTATGAACGACTGTTCATTTATTCATAGTTGATCATAATTTCATACATGTTCAATTATGAACATTTATTCTTACATCATCATAACATTCATGCATGTTCAATTATGAACATTAACGAATGTTCATTTATTTCTCAATTTTCATTTGTAAACTTTAATCCCTAATGTTCAAATATGAGCATTAGTTGTAATGAGAACATTTTGAATTTTCATTTCCTATATTGTTGTTATTAGTTTAAATAAATACTACAATTTAGAAGTATTATTAATAAATTTTATTTCCATTTTAAAATCACATTGTCTATGACAAACTCTCCAAGTAAATCAATCTGAGTTTCCAACGAGTGTTTGAAAATATTGATGATTTGATGCTTGATGTATTGCTTGCATCTGAAACAGGGCCTTCCCATGCAAGAGGGGGAGATGTGATGACTGCCTGGAATCCAAGCTCAGAATTCCAACTCCGAGATGAGTCAACAAATGAAGATAAAGATGAAGATCAACTTATGGTGACTGGTGATAAGAGAAAAAGTGGAGAAGATGAAAAAGAAGAAAGTGATGATGACAAGGAAATGGCGAAAGAAGTGCTTGCCCATCCATCCGAAAGGAAGCAACCCTGTTTTTAAAGAATTATTTCGGACGAAGAAAAGCAAAAATGGTCCTCTGTAATATTGCCGACGCGTTCAAACATTGTAGAGAAATGGAAAAGTTAAAAACGAAGCTGACTACTGACGCATTCCGAGCTACTCAATCAATGCCTCCTCCCATTCCTACTCCGAGAATTAAGTTTGTTAATTAACGCTCTCCAATAAAGAAAACATATAACTTACCTGATCAGCCTCTGATTCCTCCATTCTTGAAAGCTTTCATCACTCCAGTTGGTCAACAAATCATTTCTTCCAATACCACTCCAAATACCCCTGTGAAAGACAAAGGCGAGGGAATCCTTTTCAGAAGAATCAGCCCAGTAAATCCATTTAGAAAGAAAGAAGACCGGTCTTTAGATGAAAGTGACAAAGAAATGGAAGAGATCCTTAGAATTCAAGATCTGAAGGATAATTCGAATCCCTTCTCATGCATTTCTCCCTACTATCCTCAAGGAATGATCTATGATGACCACTTTGTTCCTTTCAAAAGTTATGCTCTTCCAACAAACGACTCTGAGCAACTGGATCTTCCCATCTCTCCTTATGGAAAGTTCTATGTCAAGTGTTCCCCTCTTCATCCTTCTAACGACAAAGAAACTCTCGTCTGAACTGAGAGAAAAATACTAAGCACATTCTATTCCACCAATTCCCTCCTCAAGATAAAACTTGGTCCAAGTACAGAATCATAAAGTTCGGTGGTTTTGGAATGAAGATTCTCGAAAAGTTTGATCTTGACTGCATTATCTACTACTACTACATCTTCCGGAATACTGAAGAAAAATCTAAGATCTTGGATACTGATTTCCCTTTGATAAATCCGAATGACATTCTTGTTATTGCAGCTCACCTGAAAGAACGTTAAACCTCTGAATTCAATACAGGAGCATACAACTCAACTCTCAGCCACTTGAAAGACTACATTGCTGAGTTCGAAAGATATGATGTGGAGTTCACTCCCCTGTTCAGAACTGAAAAAATTATCTCTTTTGTCAATACTAATCTTGAAGGAATTGATATCCTCGATGAAGGTCCTATTAGAAATCTTGAACTTGGATTTGTTAACATGAAGAAAAGCTTGTGAAAGAAGGAGTTTTTCAGAGTTAGAGACAAGCATCTGGTTCCTACCACAATTCTTCAGAGATGCAACTCCAAAACGGATAAGACCAATGCTTCAAAAGAAATCAAGAATGAGTTTGTTGATCAACTCAAATGGTACATTGAAGTCCGAAGCTGGATGCAGAAGGCATACCTCTTTGCCTTTGAATAATCAAAGTAGGATGACTAAGGATTGATCAGACCACATAGGGGGATGTTGTTAGTACATGAAAAGTGCCCTTTAGTCAATCTGATCTTATGTCCATTTCTGAGATGATGCATGTTCCGAGATGAAGTAGTTTATGAGATGAATAGATTTCAGAGATTGTGTTATTTCCGAGATCAGTTAAAGTGATCTATCAGAAGTGAAAGTACTTCTTTATTGTTCACTGTTTGTAACTTAGTGTCGTACAACCGACAAGATCAACAACAACAACAACTGTTTCAGGTTGTTGATCTTCAGTCCATGCGCATTTTATCCATATTTATCTTTAGTAACTACTTGTCTATAAAAGGAGTGTCGACCTTTGTAAACAGTAGCAACTTTAGAGCATCTTCATTAATCAAATCAAGAATTATTCAGTCAATCATTTCTCTCTAACATTCTTCTTCTTCTTCATACTATTCATTCTTCATACTTGACTTTAATTTATTTGAGCACAGAACCTTCTTCAGATTCACATTATTTATCATTAAGACTTTACTTTGGGATGATTCACATTTTCAGTAGGTTATTCTTCCTATATTACTAGGTGTATTATGAATCGAGTTTGAATTATTGAAGACGTTGTGTGATCCGATATTGAGCTCTTCGGTTCAACAGTCGAGGGGGAGACTATGAAAATGATCGCTTGTTGGGGATTGGTCAGTTCCGAAGATTGGGATTTCATATTTTTATTTACTGTTGGGTTCTCTGTATGTTCCTTGATGCTAGAGATTTCATTTCCAGTTTCCGAGATCACGACAACTTTATATATTTTGAGAAACTTCAGCACCAAAACCTGCCAATCGGATGTTCTTCCTTTTATCACTGCTTTTTACCCTTATCATTTCCAAACATTTAGGGGATATTTTTGGAGCATGAAATACTCTACAATGATGAGTGATTTATTATGTTAAAATATTCCTTTTTATGAGAACATATTCCCTCAACTAGTATATAAAGTGGAGGTGAGTGGCCATTTGTTTATGAGTGCACCCATGTAGACTTTTATAGTGAGAGAGAGTTGGTTGGGGATTCTCCCCATCCATGAGAGTTATTCTTGTAACATGTTGATTCTCTCCATCTATCCATTACAATTTACTCACATGTTTTGTTCTTCATGTCCATACACGATTATCTTCTTGATATTATCTTTCCGCACAAATCCAATCGATAAATGGGAACCTATAATTTCTACACATGCATATATACTTATTTCGGCATATACTTTTATGTTAACATTCATACATGTTTAGTTATGAACATGACTCAGGTGCTCCACACACCTTGAACTCGCTGAAAAAGGGAGGTCGTGTTGGATAAGGTGTCTATGTCCATAACTTATTTGGAATATACTTGACCCGAACCGGCATGGTCCATTTGGGTTGCACTTCACCCAAACTATTTATATGGATAATTTTATGAGAATAGTATATTTATGATTTATTAATATATTATAAGTTATAATATATTAATATGAAATTATATTATTTAATTAGTATTGGTCTTAAATTAATTATGAATTAATTTAGTGATCAAATGGTGACTAATTAAACATGGGCTATTATATTTATATAGTGTGGGCTAACACTCATTATGGTAATGGGCTAAGCTTATATGGGAGTCCATGGATGATCTATGGAGCTCTTAACCCATGGATCCTTGGAAAGGAAAAGACATGGGTTATTAGGGTTTACCCTAATCATGTGCACTATATAAACAAGCTTGTGATGCATGAAATGACACCCCTAGTGTGTGTGAAGAAAGGTGGCCGATTTCTAGAGCATAGATATACTCTCTTATAAGTTTTCCAAGTTTGTGGTGATTTGTGATTTCCATTTGAGGCATTCACATTATTGGTGCTTGGCTCTCAAACTCCTAAGGAATCAATTCACAATCAAAGGTATGTAATTCATCTAGTTCTTTTATGTTTAAAAGTTCCCCATGTCATGCTAGATAAGTTATAAACCTTGGAAAACAAATTTTTCATGTATTTTAGACAAACATAGATCCAAGGTTTATTAGGTTTGCATGGACACTTAGGAAGTGTTAGAATGCTCAAAACCAACAGTGGTATCAGAGCATAGGCTTGTTTGTTGATACTTGATGCAAAATTGTGTTAAAAATCGAAATTGTTTGCTGTCTGAACAGTGGACTCGCCGAGTCCATGGGGGGACTCGACGAGTCCAAGTGAAAATTCATCCTACTCGTCGAGTAGGTTCGTGCACTCGACGAGTAGAATGAACTGACAACAGATTTTTAACTTTTGTTGCTGGAAATGGACTAGAAACATTACCCTAAACTGTTTTGGTGTTTTAAAACCTGTTTTAGATGGTGTAATGTTTATGCTAATCCATTTACAATGGCTTATATCAAAATTCCATGATTTTATGTGTTCATATAATTCTTGAAATCTTGATAATCATGTTCATGTTCTTATGAGTTTAGAAAAATGATAGGAATTATTTGCTGAATTGTTTATCATTAATTCTTGATCATTTATGTGTTTTAATGGAGTCCATAATTTGTCCTCAAGTTATGGATATCCAAAGGTCACTTTCTTTTAAACACACATTTAAACACATAATTTACATAAAAATGAAGAGTCTTCATTTTTATGAACCATTAACTCATAAGTTATGAAATGAAAAGTTTTGAAAAGTTTCAAAACTTGCCCTCAAGTTTTGGAATTTGTAAAGTTACACACACTTTAATATACTTTAATTCCAACCCTTAGAGTTTTAAAAGTTAAAATTCGACCCTTATACTATTTTTAACATTAATGGTTAATTATTATATATATGTATAAGATCAAGTCGTTTTACCGTTAGTAGGCCTCATTCACGAAGCCGGTCTATAAGGGGGGTGTAAGGTTGTTGCCTATAAAATGGCAACTTAATGGGTGTCCATTCTCACCCACCGCTTCGTTGATCAGTGGAGGGTCGTTGGCCGAACGGGTAGGACAATGACTTTAAATTCTCATTAAAAGTATAATGAATATTATAAATTAACTAAACCTTTTATAAATTCCCAATCTTAGCTACTTTATGAAAATGTTAATATGGTGCTAACCCATGAAATTCACACTTTGTACCTTACCAAGTCGTTGGTGGAGCATGTGTGGTTAACCGGCACACTAACTTGGACTAGTAAGGATCACGAAGGGTGACTTAATGTTTATCATAGATCGATGGAGCATGTGTGGTCAACCGGCACATTGATTAGCTGATAATATTAAGGGTACCAAGTAAATTTGCATGGTTATTCACACCTTATTTTTGTGATCCTCGGCATCCCAGTCACAAAACTTGAAGGGCACAATCGAGATTGAAACATGCCATTGAAAAGTTCAATGAATCTCAAAAGAATCTAGGAATTTCAAAAACCAATTAAACCTAATACTTCATTTCGCTTTCATGGTGGAAATTGGTGAATCGTCATTCACCTACCTTCAAATATGTTATAGCTTAGATTACGGCATCCCTCTTCTAAGTTATAATATATTGTGTTGGATCCTAGCCTTAATATTACATTTGGGTGTATTATTAAGGATTCGATATATCTAATCTAAACTTGTTTTCTTCTTTTCAGATGTCTTCCAACAACAATGCTTCGGGCTCTAACCCTACTGGCTCTTTTTCCCTCATGAACCTTTATGGGATGGTCATCTTTGATGGTTCCT